TATTCTTGCAGTACATAATGCGTCATGGCCTCTGCGACACGAAAACCCACAATACTGAACACCGCTCTGATGACCTGGTACCTGGAATTAAACTATGTTGTCGGTGTGGTCGCATGAAGAAAGATTGGTTGGCAGCAAGGGGTGGGGTGGAGTGGGGGGCGCGCGGGGCGCTTTTGACGCGAGTTTACGACATAATTAGATGCAGTCGCTTCGGAAGGTGCGCGCGCCGCGCGACGTTGATGGATCGCACTCGCGCGCTCAATAGCAAAAAGGCGATTTGGATGTTCGTTACGCCCCTCGCTCGCCCAACACCCCACCCTGCGCGCGGAACGGTTAGTCTTTTGTCTCCCTACAAGTCTCTCCAAAACGCCTTCGCCCTCTCCTCCAAAGCCGCCGAACCGCTCATAAAATACATTCTAAGACGGCTTGGGGAAACTGACGGGGAGTTGCATCAGAGAGAGGCTGGGGCCGATGAGACTAACGCCGCCGCACCGCGCTGGTGGCGCCGAGCCCAGCGGAGCGGCCTACTGTAGTGGCTCCCGCACACTGACGCCTTCCCCCACCTGCCCTATACTTCCCCCCGTCTGCAAACCATGTCTGTGGAATAATTCAATGAAGCCTATCGCGAAAATGTCAATGGCGCGACACCGACGCGATGGACGTATATATTTTCTCCAGTTTAAAAATAAATCAGTCAGCGGTGAAGACCTGCCACGCGAGACTCGCGGTTTCCTCTTTCCCAAGCGAGGCACTATCACTATCCGGCACTATCACTATCCAGCACTATCCTGTGTATCTTCCACATTTTATCAGAGCCATCAGGTTTTTTTTTCGGCCAGCCCGTCGGAATAAAAGAAAGCGAACGTATGGACAAGTCACATCTAGACACATCCACACAGAAAGATGGAGAAAGATAATAATCATTTATGAAAATTAAGTACACAAGACATAAAATAAGTCATACACGTACATCAATAGCATACCGCATTTTCTAAAATTTAGTTAGGATGAGGATGGAGGGATGGAGGGATGGAGGGATGGAGGGATGGAGGGATGGAGG